TTTTTTTTGCTTCTGAAAAAGAGATGCTTGTCAAATGAATAAATAAGATACCTGAAATGCTTGGCAAAGATTCCCCCGCTCTTTCGACGATGTCTGTCCGTCAATTCTTACCGATTTCAGGTTCCGTTTTTGTACCTATACGGGGGAAATGTGAAGCGCACAAACCTAACGACAAAATTGACGACTTGCAGCTCTTACTTCCACTTGAACTGTATCGAGAACAATTTGATGATGTGCAAAGATTAACACTTTCTTTTTAGGGGCATCTGGGTAGAAGTAATTGTCGAGAATATGTGAACAAACAGCAGCTGCCTGGTATTAAAGGCGATAAGATTATATGGCAACCGGAGTAGAACGCTAATGCAAACCTTGACAATGCCTGTCAGACTGAAGTATTCGAGTAAACATTCGTTTGGCCCTCTCCCATCCTAAACTTCATAATCTATTCCATCATCAACAAAATAGCGTATTCAACAACAAAAAGCCTAATTTTTGCGGACATAAACGTTATTATGCAAAATGTACATATATTAGATGTATAACAACATATTCAAAAAGTAAAAGGAAGCGATTGAACAAGCAATGAACACGCTAACCGTCACTTGTTTATTCGTCTCAAATGCCCTCTTTGCCTTTTGTAAGCTGCTCATACGCGAATCAATTTTGTCGCCAGACAAGTAGACCACCTAAACGAATGTCATTCACCAGTTCTTACAATTTCATATTACTGCAAGAATGCAAAATCAGCACCTCTCTCCTCTTATCTGGTAAGTCGCGAAGAACTTGCGATTTTAGTCGACGTATCATTACTCTTTTCAACAGGATAGCGGTCAGTTCTTCGCTGTTAGTACACCCTTTGGCCTGTGAAGATATATATATATATATGCAGTTCGAATTTGATGAAAGATAAGGTTATCACCTCAAAACAGAATCTTCCCTGCTTTCCGTCACAGTAACGAATGGCAAACTGTTGGAAATTAGGGAACAGCCGCTCATTTACCAATCGAATTTGTGAAAACAGTTCAGCTGGCCGAGAAAGAGCGGGGGTGCCGGATAGGAGAATTACACGCGATGCTTTTCTCTGGAATAAGATGCTAAAAATAAGGAAAATGGCTAAAATAAACTCCACTGACTGATAACGAGAACGCTACTTGAGTTCGCTTTGCTTTCCCATCCTTCAACATATGAGATTCATCCTAAAAAGATGAGACTGATTTTGATTGTACCCTCAATCAATAACATGAAAAGGCTTACAAATATGATAACATAGTAGCAGGCAGCCTCTAATTCTTTCTTCTTCATAACCATCTGGTCATAACTCATAATCACTACCTGCAAATAATCTTGTGCCAAAAATTCGACTTTACTAAATTTATCTGCGCAGCTCCTTTTCCTAGGATGTAAAGAAACCATGTCACACCCGACAAACAGATAAGCTCAAATTTGTCAAAATGAGACAGGCCCCGAATGAATTATCATTTGATAACTTGCAGGCAAAGTTAAAGCAAAGGGTCTATGCGAACTGACATTACCGTATTGGACGTGCGAGCCGTAGGGAGTACATCCGTTCCTTTATCGATAAGGTACAAATTCTGGATGATGGGGAAAAATTTGTTGATTTGCTAGAACCAAACATAAGTACCTTTAGTAGAAAGCATGACATGATAAGACATAATGTAGAGAAGAAAACAAACCATCTTCCATGCACTCTTGACGGAGGACGGACAAACAATCAGTAGGGGCCATTCTGCCCTAAACTAACTCTCACTAAATTATTTAAAACGAAGAGAAAAATTCGCACGAAAGAGAAGCTTCTAAGAGATAAAAAGAGAACAAAAGTCTTACTTATAATACCGAGCCAATGTAAGCGCTTGAACAGATTTACCGAGTCCCATTTCATCCGCAAGCAGTAAGCGTCCACCCCTCTCGATGCCGAATCTGAAATCTGCAATTCTCAGCAGTATCAGGATAATTTTGACAATATATTTACGTGACTCCAAGTTTTTGGAATGGAAAAAGCCGCTCAATCAGGGCTGGATCCATAATTAGAGACAGATCGGTGGGAACAACGTGCTTTGCTTCACTGTCGGTTAGCAGTCTCAGTACATTATCAGGAACAGGCTCTATGGAGACATCAACAGCCTATGAAGAATCTACATCTATGAGGTCTTGAGACCAAAAAAACATATTGATCTACCGTCAAACTTTTGAGAGCTTCCTCGCATTTTTTCAGTTCCCGCAAATTTAGGCTCCACGTACGATCCTTTGCGTCGTAAGCGCGAGATGGTATGGTCTTGATCGCATCCAATATAGCGACGTGATAAGGGGAAAAGCGGATCTAGACATTCTCAAGAATGACAGGATTTTCAAGAAAACCATTGTACACACCTTCAGCCTGTCGCTTGTAAGCACGCTGAATTCTACGTGAACAGCCGACTTAGGCATTCT